GAAATTACGCGAGGTCCTCTGACATCTGAACGTACGAGTGAGTCGCCCAGTGAAAATGCGCGACGTCCGTGGAGTGGCGGGTTGCCCTTGCAGTAGTAGCGGAACCCCATACCGTCCCCGACCATCCTCGCTGGTTCGGCGACGAATCGGGCCCCGTAGCCATCTACTGGGGGGGTTGTGATGGTGCTCCACCTTGCGTCCTCCTGCAAAGGGGGCGGGGCTTTGTTGCAGTACAATGGGGCACCCTGGCTATAGTGGGCTGCTATGTCTCTCCAAACAGGACCCTCGCCGACTACGAGGAGTACCTGGACGACGTAGCGGATTGCGTGCGCGGGTGCTTACCCCGTCCGTCGATTGTCCTAGGAGATTTTAACGCCCATAACAGGGCTTGGAGCAACTCTAGGGACAATCCAAAGGGAGAGATCATAATGGAATGGGCGGCTGCTCTGGACCTTCGACTATTAAATCGGGGGTCTGAGAGTACATGTGTGCGGTGGCAGGGGGAGTCCATTGTAGACCTTACGTGGGCAACTCCTCCTGCAATGCGAAAGCTGTCGGGATGGCGAGTGGCGACAGAGGTGGTGACACTGTCAGACCACCGCCACATCGTGTTCGATGTCGCACTTCGCCACTTCGACAGTAACTCCAGGTGTCCAGAAGGCAGCCCACCGCGGCGTTGGTGTCTCAAGCGGCTTGACCGAGACAAGCTCGAAGCCGCCGCCATCGTCGCGGCCTGGCCAGAAAAAGCCGAAGAGGTTCCGCTCGATCCGGAAGTGGAAGCGAACTGGTTCCGAGCTACGATGGCGCAAATATGCGACGTCTCGATGCTCAGAGCCAGTCGTCCCAAGCGCAGGGCGGTGTACTGGTGGTCGGCAGAAATTGCACACCTTCGTGCGATCTGCTTGCGGAGTCAGCGCCAGTACACAAGAGCCCGAAGAAGAAGGCGAGCTCCACCTGAAGATATAGCCAGACTCTACGGGGCATACCGAGCGGCTACAAAGGCGTTACAAATCGCTATATCTAACGCCAGGTCTCGGTCCTGGAAAGAGCTCCTAGAGGGACTCAACGAAGATCCCTGGGGGCGACCGTACAGGATGGTGCTGGGAAAACTCCGGCCATGGTCGCTGCCCTTGACGAAAACTCTCGATCCGGAACTGCTGGGAAGAGTGATCGGCACGCTTTTCCCAGAGGACCGGTCAAGTCCCTCAGGTCACCTGCCGTCGTCATTGGAGTGGCATGATGAGATGGAGGTGACCGTGGAGGAGCTGGACCGAGCCGTTAGCCGTTTGAGAGCCCGGAACACCGCACCGGGGCCTGACGGAATTCCTGGTCGGGCTCTGGTGCTGAGTCTGGCTACCTTGGGGGATAGCCTAAGACAGCTGTTTACCGGCTGTCTGCGGAGTGCCAAGTTCCCCACAGCATGGAAAGAAGCAAGGTTGGTCCTCTTGAAGAAGGAAGGCAGAGCCGCCGATTCTCACTCTGCGTACCGTCCCATATGCCTGTTGGACGAGATTGGCAAATTGTTCGAAAGAATAGTTGCCACTCGGCTCAACGGACATCTGTCGCGCGCCGGTCCCGATTTGGCAGAAAGCCAATTTGGATTCCGACGGGAGCGTTCCACCGTAGATGCCATTATGCGCGTGCGCTCCCTGTCGGAACAAGCAATATCCCAGGGTGGTGTGGCGTTGGCAATAAGTCTTGATATTGTCAACGCCTTTAACTCCCTACCCTGGCATACAATACGGAAGGCATTAGCACACCACCAGGTGCCTTCCTACCTGCAAGGCGTAATCGGGGACTACTTGCGCGACAGGTACATTCTGTACATGGGGCAAGATGGTAGGAATATACGGAGGGAGATCAAACGTGGGGTTCCGCAGGGCTCAGTGCTGGGGGCGCTACTGTGGAACCTCTCGTACGACGCGGTTCTGCGTGTCAACCTTCCTGCTGGCATAAATATCGTGTGCTATGCCGATGATACACTGGTGGTAACCTTCGAGGGGACCAAGGAGCTCGCTGAGCTTGGGACGGAAGTCGTCGTCGCCAAAATCCACGAGTTGGGTCTAGAAAAAGCGCCTCATAAGACCGAGGCCTTATGGTTTCACAAATTACCTCGGAGCAAGAAACCACCCGACTCGTGCGTCTACGTGGGTGGGTCTGTAGTCAGAGTGGGGCGGTACATGAAGTACCTAGGGCTCCATCTAGACAGTCGCTGGGGCTTCGAAGAGCACTTTGAGCGCCTAGTCCCCCGGATTGAGAGGGTGGCGGGTGCTATGCACAGACTGCTGCCCAATCTAGGGGGATTGAGGGAGGAAATACGCCGCCTCTATGCGGGGGTAGTACGATCCGTAGCCTTATACGGGGCACCTGTGTGGGCGAAAAGGCTAGCCACCCGGCGCTGTAGATCTAAAATCTACAGTGTCCAGCGGAGGATGCCTATATGGATCGTGCGGGGATACCGCACGATATCTTTTGAGGCGGCAACAGTCCTGGCTCGCTTCCCACCCCTAGATATACTGGCGGATATGGATGCAAGGGTGTACAACCGAATCCGCATCCTCCGTCAGAGAGGTGGCAGTGAGCCAGATGAGGCGCTCAAGTCTATAAAACGGCAGGAGCGACAGAACGCTTTAGCGATGTGGTGCACTCGACTTAACGAGGAGCGCTATGCACGCAAACGCGTTATTGGCGCAATCCTGCCGGTCTTCGAAGCTTGGATGCAGCGACGAGTAGGAAGACTCACCTACAGACTTAGACAGATAATTACCGGGCACGGGTGCTTCGGTGATTATCTGTGTAAGAGCGGACGCGAAGCGACGGCGAACTGCTTCCACTGCGGTGGACAGGATCAGGACTCCGCGTCCCATACGCTGGCGGTATGTCCAGCGTGGGAACGGGAGCGAATGATCCTGGCAAACCGGGTCGGTCGGGACCTCTCCCTGCCAGCAGTCGTGTCGGCGATGTTGAGCGGGGACTCGGCGTGGAGGGCCGTAGCCAACTTCTGTGAGTCCGTAATGGTCCAGAAGGGGGCTGCTGAGCGGGATCGGAGGAGGACAGATCCCACTCGGAGACAACGTCATCAAGGCGTTCGTCATGGCCCTCCCTCTGAAGATGGTGTTCCCCTACCAGAAACGGGGCCTCTGGGGTTGCAGGCGTTTGGAGCGGGGGCCTCGAATGCCTAGTAACGTAACCCCCGAGGAGGACGATGGCTCGGAAGTGGTCCCGAGACATCGTGATAGCACTGCGAGGGTGCTGGGGGTAGTAAGTTCTGCCCCTGGGACGTGCTTCCAATAAAGCGAAGCGAGAGAGGGACCCCGGTTGTGTTCCGAACGGAGATCCCGGGACCCCTCGTACACGCTGATGGAGACCACCGTGGGGTTTTAGCCGGTAGGAGTCCGGCATAACCTTCCGGTTGCCCCCGCAGCCGAAGGTATCCATGAGGATTTCCTCACGAAAAAAAAAAGACTTCGGCTATACTGTATAGTGAGCCGCTTGCCATTTTCCGTTTTGCCTCTTTATTTTAAAACATTTTCACTATGTAATTACCATAAATTGCAATATTTTCTATATAAGGTTAAATCTTACACTAATATGCTAAAGATCATTAAATCGGCATTTTGGTCCTTTATCGTATAGTATAGTAGTTATAAAGTTTATTCAATATATTTACATTTAAAAAAGTTATTAAACGAAATGTCCCAAATTTTCATAACAAATGGGTACATTAATTCTTTAATTTTTCTATAACTACCAAATGCGTTTAATCATACAAATTATTTCTTCACTATCGTAATCTATATACCATATGCTAACTAAATGTCATATTTACAACTCTTTTAGAACACAAATATTATCTCATTCATTGAGTTATATGTACTACGTACTAGAGAAGCCATTTCAAACAAAAATTGTGTCCTACTCTATCTCTTCGCGCTTGCGCGACTATTACTCCCGCGCATGCGCGAAGACTTTAATTTAATATAAAATAAGATATTAATATAAAATAAATATAAGAATTTAATATAAAATATCTTAATTTAATCTAAACAAACATATTTCTAAATAAAATGTAATAATTATTTTATGGAATTCACAAATCTTCAATTTACGCAATATTTAGTTTGTATGGATTGCACTACAGTTCAGTTGAAGTTGAACATAGTCAATGTTCGGAATGGCTTCTTTAGTACGTAGTACATATAACTCAATGTTCTCATTACTTTTAGTATAAACTTGGTATAAACTATTGCGCAGTTAATTAAATTTCCAGAAAGTTCTACGATATGACGCGCTGTGATTGGTCGATTTTTTCTTAAACGATTAATGTTGTTTATATTAACTATTATTAAAACGACATTCTATACAAGTATATTAAGAGTTGTAAACACACTGTAAAACTATACTAACAAACTATTTACTCGATTTCGTTGGTAATTTCACTTTTTATACAATACTTACAATATTCTTTCATCACTTTGTTTCTTAAAGTCGTTAGGCCGTCGCGAACAGAATGGTTACTTCAATGATTGGCTCCATCGAATGGAAAAATGTGTCAAATTTCGCGGAGAATACTTCGAAAAGCAATAAATACATTTTTAAATAGTAATGTTGTGTCACTTCCTTGATTCCCGAAATTTTCAGTGCCGCCCTCGTATCATGCAAATTTATTAAATTTTAGTATTTTGAATAAAAATGCGATTGTTTCGCTTTATTCTTAGTCTTACTACAAATATTAAATATGTATATTTCATCTTTATATAGAAGGTTCAATCAAAATAAGGTTTTAAAAGTTCCAAGAACTAAAAATTCACCACTTATTGAAGCTGAACCTTCATATGATGACGTTAATATGTCAATAGGTCAAATTATACCTGTTTCACTGAGTGTTGATTCTGAGTCCAGTACAGTCGTATTAATGTTCTGTGGTACAGTCACTCCGCGGCACTCGTCCGGCTCGAAGTTTGTTTGTTTAAAGTGCTACAGGCAGAGCTACGGTCGAAATGAATAAAATCAATCAGGACTTGCAAAGGGAAAGAAATAATTGCTCTTTCAATATACAGGAACTAACGACTTTGATTGATGGAGGACCAGAGAAAACAAAGGAGCGAAAAGATAGAGGTATTACCTAATTCGTTAAATAACTGATTAAGTTTCAGTAAGCAGAAATTGAGTGTAAGCTTGAGCATAAATATTAGATCATAATATCGACGAAAGAAAACAATTGTAATATTAACTGGTTGTTACTGGTGGTTAAGAAAGTAATGGCAACAAAATACTCTGATAAGTTTAACGGGTCACTGTTTATTAGATATCATATCACACATAAAAGTGTTACACCAGTAGGGGAAGGAGGGGGCAAACCGGATAGAGGGTGAAACCAGATAGTTACTATTTCATTATTTCGCGTATAGCTGTCTCGTTCTAGCTAGTGGAGAATTACGCGCGAACGCGAACGTTTACTCAGTGGCTCAGTGCTGTTGCAAATGCAGGTGACGGTAACATCTCAGCGCGTGCGTCTATATACGAAATTGAAAACAAAGGTACTTTATCTAATATTTTGATTTTTTAAGTGTTATCATTAAGTGTAGCTGTATGCAACCATAAATAGTTGTTTAATTTAAGAAGTAATATATATTTAACCTTCTAAACCGGTATTTGTTGTTGCTATGAGTGTAAACATAACCTGTTAGTTATTAGAATTTCAAACATGGTACCTATGGGGTACAAGCGGACGGGGTGATTTTGACTAACCGGTGTCATCCCGATTGATTTGTATGCAGACATTGTGGGCGTTTGTTTTATCTCTTTTTGATTACTATTTTTTTTTTACTTTTTACAGACTGCAAGCGTCAGCATGCCCTGCCCCATGAAGATCCTATGTTTCTTGTCTTAGATGGTCACGCCACCCACACTAAGAACCTAGAAGCTATTGAGTTAGCTCGTGCTCATGGTGTCATAATGCTCTGTTTGCCACTCTACGTTGGTTTTATAGGACGTTTGAGCAAGTTTTACTCGCAAGAAGTCTGGCTTCGAAATCATCCGGGGCGTGTTGTCACCCAATTTCAAATGTAATCTTTGTTTGAAACTGCTTATAATCGTGCCGCTACCATGCAAAGTGCAGTATCTGCTTTCTCCAAAACCGGAATTTGCCCACTGAATCGCAACATTTTTACAGATGTTGATTTTTTCTTTTCTATTTATTAGGTTTACCAAAAATTGCTAACACTAACACAGACTGCACCATTACAGACTACAAAAATATTATTTGTACCAAAAACAAATGAAATCTCTCAGAATCCTTTGCCTCGAGAAAGAATCCCGTCCCCGCAAGCAGGAACATATAGAGAAGGACAAACGTTTTCAAATTCTATTAGTCTTGTATCACCGAAAGGTATCATGCCAATTCCTCATTTTAAAAAGAACATGTGTCCATCATTACGTTACGTCGAGCAAAAACCGCAATTCTGACTGAATCGCCGTATCAAAATGAACTGGCTGAAAAAGCTACGCCATTAGTTAGTAAAATAAAATTTAAAGGCAAAGGTAAGGGTATCGAGAAAAAGGCGAATAAAGAAAACTATGAAGAGGATTCGAAGTGTTTGGTTTGTGGCCAAAAGTGTAGTCAAACTAAGTCCACAGATGAATGGTAACAATGCACCGCTGGGCTCACGAAAGTTGCATTGGTTGTTCTGAGCAAGAATTATTATTTTTTGTATGCAAAAACTGCGAATGATTTCAATATTTTGTTTTATTGCTAGTATCTGTATTCACCCCTTTAATATAAAATACCTATCCGGTTTGACCCATAGGTGTGGGGTGAACTCGGATTTGTAATTTTTTATTAAAATTGTGCTAGTTTGATGTTATTAAGATTGATCTCAAATATTTTTGTACCAAATTTATGCCTAAGATATACTTTAACCTTTGTAATATTGATTATCTCAATAAATAATATAGTGATTTATTTATTGGGTCTTTATCTTAACTATCCGGTGTCCCCCCACCTTCCCCTACCTATCATATTAGACGATTGTGTTACTAGTACATAAGATAGTTTAAAAAAAATAACGGAAAGGTATTTACTTATTTGCTTACTATGACGGTTATCGATAACAATTTCTTTTTATAGGAGAGGGGGCAAACGAGCATGTGGCTCACCTGATGGTAAGTGACTACCGCCGCCCATGAACAACTGCAACACCAGGGAGGGAATTGCAGATGCGTTGCCGGCCTTTTAAAAAGGAGTACGCTCTTTTCTTGAAGGTCCCTAAGACGTATCGGTCCGGAAAAATCGCTGATGGTAATCGATTCCACAAGGAAGTCGTGCGAGGAAGAAAACATCTTCTAAATCGCATAGTGGTGGACCGCCAATCATCCAGATGGTGTGGATGGTATCGGGAGTTCTGCCGCGATGTGCGTTCGTGAAATTTGGCGGCTGGAATTAATCCGAACAATTCCTCAGAGCACTCCCTGTGGTAGATGCGAAAGAAAATGCAAAGGGATGCAACATCTCTTCGCAGTGCCAATGAATCGAGCCGATCGGAAAGGACCCGGTCGTCGACGATTCGAGCCGCTCTGCACTGGATGCGGTCAAGTGGAAGAAGCTGGCACTGGGGAGCCCCTGCCCAGAGATGGAAACAGTATTCCATGTGAGGCCGAACCTGCGCCTTGTAAAGTTGCAGGCGGTGTGCCGGCATGAAATACTGTCCCGCTCTGCTGAGCACGCCAAGCATTTTAGAGGTCAATTTGGCCTTCCCTTCCAAGTGACCACGAAACTGCACACTATTCGATATGTCGACGCCAAGGATTCCGATACTAGCTGAGGCAGCAAGGAGAGTGCCTTGAAACTGAGGAGATACGACAAAGGGGTTCTTTTTAGCAGTAAACGCGCAAACTTGTGTCTTCTGGGGATTGAACTGGACTAGATTTAGTCGGCCCCAATCCGAGACTTTGTTAAGCAAAGACTCGACTTCAGACACAAGTTTATTCCGGTACTCGGTGACGTTTTCCCGAGAAATATTGGCACGGCCGGTGTATAGAGCATCACCAGTGCTGTCATCCGCATAGCAATGAATGCTACTAGTTAGCACCATATCATTGATATGCAGAAGAAACAGCGTTGGTGATAGCACACAGCCTTGTGGAACATCAGCGTTAATAGGCTTGTAGTCGGAGCATGCACCGTCTACAACGACCTTGATACTTCGGTCTGCAAGGAAGCTGGTGATCCAATTGCACAATTTCTTGGGAAGCCCGTAGGAAGGGAGTTTCGAAAGAAGCGCTTTGTGCCAAACCCGATCAAAGGCCTTCGCAATGTCCAAACTAACGGCCAACGCCTCCCCCTTGGACTCTACTGCCTCCGCCCATCTATGGGTCAGGTAGACCAGAAGATCACCAGCTGATCGACCCCGACAAAAACCGTATTGGCGGTCACTAATCAGCTGGTGATCCTCAAGGTACCGCATGAGCTGGCAGTTAATAATGGATTCCATTATATTGGAGAACAAGGAGGTGATCGCGATAGGCCTATAGTTGGACGGGTCTGAGCGGTCGCCTTTTTTAGGAATCGGGTGGACAAAAGCTATCTTCTATGAATTCGGAACTACGCCTTGGGAGTAGGAGTACCGGAAAAGACGCGTTAGGACCGGTGCCAACTCCGGAGCACACGTTGCTTCACTATTAATTTTAATCGTCTTCCATACACTAGTCAACATAAAAGACAATGTTCATTCATTCATAACAATTAACAACCTATCAAAATCCATTGCTGAACACAGGCCTCCCTTATGTTTCATGTTTTAACCGACATTAAAAAGGATGAGATTCTGAATTCGAGTGTATGTTTTTTGTATGTATGTTTCGTGATATCTTCGCAGATTGTGCATCAATTTTGAAGATTCTTTTTTGTTGGCATAAAAATTACATTCTGGACTGTGTAAATTTTAAGCAACAGTTTTCAGAAGCAATATTCAAAATTACATAATTAAAAGAAAATTGTAAAAAAGTTAAAATTTGTAGCAACAGGAGTTAAAAGACCGTAACAGGGTGAAGATTTTCTCGTTTTTTATATAAATGCCTTTACATAGCAAGGATTTTTATTATATTTTTTTATACCCGATTATTATTTTTTTGTTACCCGATTCCGGCTTGACGTCGACTTCTGCGACAACCTATAAAATTTCTGTCCCTTATTAGGTTATCCTTCTTGATATACTTTTTATCGAAAAACATATTACTTTTTGCGCAGTTTTAACTAAGAACGACATTCTATAATCCCAATTTTATTAACCCCGATGAAAACAGAAGGGTGTTTTAAGTTTGTATTGTGTATCTGTGTGTCTGTGTATGGCATCATAGCTCCTGAAATATTTAACCATTAGTCTTGTTTTGCATATTATCTGTATGTAATTACTCTGAGGCACATAACACTATTATTCTCGATCTCTATCGAGAGCTCTGAGGTAATTACTTTAAGAGCAACCAACACAGATCGTGTATAACTTAGACATAGAATAACTTTATCTTCTGAGGTGTATGATGATTGTCAGACGTTCACGTGTTTTAATCTAAAATAGTTTGAATTGACAAGGATTCCGTAACCGTCCACAGTTATGTATTATGTTGCACAATTAGATAATTATACAAATCATAATTAAAAAATAACTTGGTAGATAGATGACAATTAAAATGCTGTTTATTATAAATTTGTTATAGAAAGTGTATTGTTGAGTAAAAAAGATGACGTATTTGATGGCGTACCAGAAGAATATCTTAGTCATAAGGAAAGATATGAAAACGCTATCAGAAAATCTGTTATTTTGTTCGGATTGGTACGCAAAATGCAGGAAGAAGGCAAGACAAGTATAACTAACTACAGGTAAACAATACATATTTTAAATAATAGACAAGTTTAGCGAAACTAAAGAAATGTGCTATGCTAAAAGTTTTTATTATATAATCTTTTGAAAGAATTCTACACGAGCATTTGTATAGTTTTAGTCGTCTGTACTAATGTTCGATACAATTTTTCCAGCCCGCATCAGACACTTCTTCAAGACCTGCACCAAAGCATTATAGCTGATTTTTTAAAATTTTGCAGTAAAATAACTCACACGGTGCCAAACTACGCCTACTTACTGGGTACCCAAAAGTTTAAAAAAGGGCATTCCAAGTCCTTAGGGCTCTACATTTTGATTCTTCATTGAGAATAGAAATGTAAATATCTATGGGCCACAGCATTCACTTACCATTAGTCACTATGTGCTCGTTTGTCACTCTTATTCTAGAAAAAATACCATTACTAAAAAAGCGTTTGTCCATAAATGCATTTGAATTAGGTGACATTTGAAATAGAAAAATACAAACCGGGATCAACGCAGTTTGATTTTTCAAAGAAACACAAAATTTCAATTTAGCCTCGTAAAAAATTTAAATGGAAATATAAAATTGGAATATTCGTATTTTTAGTTGTAAATAATTGTATTTTGACCGCTGCTTGACCGCAGACGACCGCCGCGCCGGCGGGTTGCTGTTCCGGTAGATGCTATTGTTTAAATAATGGTTCAAGGTGAATTTTTTGTATTGAATGTCTGTGTACATGCGCAGACGTTCAATACAAAAAAAAATTGTTAGTAAAAACAATAAAACAAGTACTCCGATAGTGATGTGAACATCAAACTATTGTTTCTGCTTAAGATCCTATCGTCATCCTGGTTCAAGCTGCCGTCAAAATCTCCCACAAACTTTGCAATGTGACGCATCATACCATTTTAACAGTGGTAGAGCCACGCGGCAACTTTTGCTGTCGCACGGATGGGCCGGCTCGAACCGGGGTAGTACCACGACATCACAAAAAACCAGCGTGAAGTAGAGGTTTACCTCTGCGTTTCGCTTGGTGAGTGCAGGTGGCCGGAGGCCTTTTTTACTGGAAATGAGGCATTCCATCTTAGTCCTCACGGGTGACAACGCATCTACATTTTGATTTGTAACAGAGGATAGATGTAGATGTCTATGGGCCGCAGCAAACACTTACCATCAGGTGGACTGTGTGCTCGTTTGTCACCCTTATCCTATAAAAAAAAAATCAACCTAGTATTATTTAAAAGAAGTTTTAAAAAAATTATTATAAACGATAATCTCATAATAGGGTGTACTCATCTTATTCTGTGATAAAACAGAATATTGCAAAAAAAATCGGGTGAAACTTAATAAAAATGTTTTATTTTATATAAGAGCATCAACCACACTTTTGTTTACCATATGAGCAATAGTAATCATATTTTTCAAATAATAAACCTAAAGTAAATGAACTTTATTCATAGCTTGATGATTTGTGTAATTCGGTGACAATCACTTTAATTCGGTGATGGTACTACTCTAATTGTGATATAACAGAATTAGGTGAGTATTTATTTTTAATTATCACAAAATTCGCGAAATTTATTCCAATTAAAAATTATTTTACTAATCAACTAAAAGCTAAGAAACAAGAAATAAATTTGTACATTTTTAATTATTTATAATAAAAAGTTTATGTAAGAATACAATGAATTTCTTAATATATTATTACTCTTATTATTATTATTCATGTTATTTTACTCTTCACCACTAGATTCATCAATGCTGCAACTATCACACATAAAAACTTCTTGGTTATCACCTATAATTTGACTTTGGCAATGGATATGATAAGGATTAGTACAGAAAGAACATGTAATCCAGTCGGCTCCATTTTGTAACTTTACATCTTGTGAGTACAGCCCATTGCAAGATCGGCAAACCCATTCATCATCCGAGATTGAAGATTTTAATCTATTTAATGATTGAGAAGTTTGTTTGGCGTTTTCTTTTACATGTTTTCTTGAGTTTGGTTGTGGTGTTTGCCGATCTTTCACTTTTTGATCTTCTTTTTTAAAAGTTGTTCGGCGGACATGTCTTAAAGATACGTTTGTAGATGATGTTGTGGCGACCGGTGTTAAGCACTGAGCTTTGGGAACAGTTCTCTTTTGTCGTGTTTTTATATTAGGTTTCCATTTTGGTAATATTAATATGTCGTGTATCTCAATTTTATTTTTATTTTGAAAAATAGGTCTCGGTATATCGTCAATGTTTATATTATTTGTTACAGTATTTATATTATACATTGAGGTCGGAACTTGTTCTAACTCGCATTCCATTTGCAAAGTCTCAGAAGGAGCACTATTTTGTATGTGTGCCTCGGCAATAGAACTAATGCTTGGGATTGAAGGTTTGCTAGCGTCTTTCTCGTTTATTGCTCCTTCACTAAGGGGATCATAATTAGTTTTTATTATTTCGACTTGAGGAATATCGACATCGTAGTCTTGACCGATAATGATTTCTTCCATAGACAACTGTGATGTAGGTACAGGTTGATCTGATAATATTGAAGGTGCAATAGCTTCTGAACATACAGCATTTTTATTTACTGGATATATTCCAGCTTTTCTAAATCCTGCTCGTATATTGGTAGGCGTAAAACATTGTTCATAAACCGGTGTCAGAAATTTGTGAAAATCAAATCTTGTAGGTACTGAGGTGGGATTGTTAACTTTATAATTTTGCAACTCTGCTCTCCATGCCGCTTTAAGTGGTCGAAAAACTCCAACATCCAGTGGTTGCAAAATGTGGCTTGTGTGAGCGGGCATAGTAAATAATATTATCTGGTGGGATTTAGCATAATCAAGAATTTTTGGAGCTATATGACTCGCATGTGAATCCATAATCAACATAACGGGCCTTGTAGGAGGAATGTTTCGGTCGAAAAATTTCAACCATTCATAGAATAAATCTGCATTTATCCAGCCCTTTGGCGACAGTCGCGTTAAACTATTTGGCAGAGATCCATTCGATAGTCCAGGGATATTTCTTACCCCTTTAAATATCACCAAAGGGGGAATGAAATGCCCAGCTGCATTAATGCAAGCTAGCACTGTAGTTGTTGTGCCTTTCTCAGCATATGTTCGATTATATACGTATTTTTTTCCTATTTTGGTGACAATTTTAGTAGGTTTGTTGACGTACATAAGTCCCGTTTCGTCACAGTTCCATATTCTATCTGGACAATCCAACAAGTTATGATTAACTAAAGTTACCTCTAATTTTTCATAAAAATCAGCTAATATTGTGGGATTTGAGCAAATAGCACGACCGGAAGAAAGATTTTCCGGAGTTCTTAAACTTAAACCGTAACGATCTTTGAAACTAACCCACCAATTCCATCCAGCACATCTTTTGCTTTTGTTGAAGTAATGCTTACATTCAGCTGTCTCAGCAAGTGAAAAGGCTATTTGTCTTATCTGGTTTACAGTAAGGCCAAATCCAGGCTCTTGCATTTGTATAATGTATGACAGTAAGCTTTGTTCTAAATTCGCTGACAAAGAAAATGGTCTACCTACTTTGAGCATCCTAATCTGTGTTATTCCCTGCTTGCGTTCTTCTTTAACTCGTTCAACATTGGCCTTTAATGTACTCCACGGTACGTTAAATTCCTTTGATGCCATGTACAAAGTTAATTTTGACTGTAAAACACTTTCAATGGCTGATTTTAACATTATCTCATTATATTTTCTGTTTTTCTTCTTCGAATTTTTATTTTCCTCCATGGTGTCTGAAATAACATAACAACTCACTTAATTTCGTGATAAAAAGAACTAACAAAACGTCATAAAAATTAACAAAAATTTGAAAACAGCTTGAAAACGGCCGCTATTCTTATATCACAATTAAAAATATTTTTTTAAATATATTTTACTATAATAGTCACTATAACTAAAAATATTAATATAAGAATTAGAAAAACATCACACATACCTTCGTTATTTCGGTGACACTGTTTCGCGCTTAAATCTCGAAAATCGTTAATTTTTGAGTCCAGTAGATAAGGTATTATTCAAATATTAATCAGAATTAATCAAAACCATTCACAGTGGCAGCAATTATATGTTTTCAGCTACTGATTCACCAAATCTCATAAAGTTACACCTATGTTTTTCATTTAAAATTTATTAATTATCACAACTCAAGTCGTACGTTGCCGGTGGGAAACAAAAATGGCGGGTGAAATGACAAATCACGTGACTGTTATTATTTGACTAACAAATATTGAACAAAATTTTATACACAAAAAGAAGCCTTATCGTCTACCACAAAGTTGAATTTAAAGTAGTAAATTTTGCTCCTATAAAGCAGTGGAAGCATCAAAATATATTATCACAGAATTAAGTGAGTCACATATTTATGCTAGTTTACCCTATATATATATATATATATATATATATATATATATATATATATATTATATTTAGTAATGGCAAAGTAAAGAATAATCCTTTTTCAAAATCTCTCTCAAAAACTCTTCTAATTTTTGTAAAACATACTTCTATGTGTAAAACTTTCTACGTGGCTTCTCGTATGTATTTAATTACATATAGTTATTAAATCCTTGCCCGTGCATTTACATTAGTATATCCTTCAGTACTTCAGACCGAATTATCGTCCAGGGGCCAGTCTAAATGGAGACTATACCTATCTGAGCGCATTATAGTACTCATCATCCCATTTCGTCCTAAAATACGACTATGGGAAATACCACTGAAATACTAAATTAAGTTATACTGGCCTCCCATAGATGCCAGTATCACTTAATTTACGCCATACATATTATCTATACCAAATTAATCTTCCTGACTGGTTTCAACTACGGTGAATTCTTTCAATTGTACAAGCAGTTATAAACTCTGCAGATAACTTTGTAGTGTTTTTACAATTCGTTTTAAAGCGGTTAACAGCTCATCCATACTTTCGAAGTTCGAACTTCGGTACCCATATCTGTAAATTCATTTAAGAATGCAGGTAATAACGAAATAAGTAAAATAACACTTAGAACTAGACGTATACGATTTATTAAAATTATAAATTTTTAGGGACGTGGTCGGAGGTCTGCTTGGTTCGTCCGTTTTAAGGGATGGTTCCCCTTTAGGATTGCATTATATTATGTTTATGCCCGCTTTGTTGAACCAAGGAAATGAGGAACAACAAGCAAAATGGCTTCCACGTGCATGGAATTGCAGCATCATTGGCAGTTACGCTCAAGTTAGTATAAATAGATCCGACCTTCAAATATGAATAATTTATATGTATCTAAAAAGGTTAGTCTATTAACTTACGTCCCACTTCTGGATAAAGGCCTCCTTTCATTTCTGAGAGAGTTTTTAGAGCAAGGAAGTGTTTACCGCGCTGCCGTAAAGCGTGTTGACGGACTTCACGTGTCTTTGAAATATATCTTTTAATTCATTGATATATTAAAAGGGGAAAATATATCAATGTTTTAATTCCTTAGCATGTAGGTTTCTTCATGATGTTTTCCTTAACCACCGAGCACGTGGTATAGTGTATATTAATGAGAAACAATTATTTATTATTAACAGTTACTTGTGTAAGTACTCTTTTTTAAATCAATTTAAATAATAATCATTGTAAAAGTAATTTCTAGCATCTCTAGTTTATAACTTATTAACATAATTTAACAGCAATAAGTAAGGGATGATGGTATTTGGTGGTTAAATGTTTTATTTTTGTAAAATATTGTATGATTCAGTTAAGTTGTTTGGATTTTCTTTATAAATCACGTCATAGTATGTTGGCTTTATAAATAAGTACAAGTTACTTTCTAAAATCTTTGAAACAAGTAGGAAACCAATTTTTATTTTTTATTTACATTGTATGAAAACATCGATAACTAATAAAAAATGAAAATGACAAACACATTTATTTTTAAAATATTTTTTTAAAGAAACAAGTAAAATAAAATAAATACAATTTAGAAAGATATTGTACTATATTCAAAACTGCCGCTTAGGTTTCTTTATCGATTTATGACCTTTTTTTTGACCGATGCACATAGATGAACTTCTAGGCGGAAAACGATTACTAAGTAGTTGTGGAGTCGCTATGGAGAAGCTGTGAAATTGAGAGAATTTTCATTTTTAGACCGAACTGGGTCACGGCACGTTCATCCGCGGTTTGGAGACGACTGCCACGTACGACGCCTCAACCAAGGAGTTCGTGCTGCACAGCCCCACGCTCACTTCATACAAGTGGTGGCCCGGCGGATGTGAGTATATGCACGTTATATTATGATATTATCTTAGGACAAATTAGGTTCGGCCAAGTTAAGCTCGGAAGATTGGTTGTCAAGGTGTTATCCAGGTGATACTGACTCATTTCTGTTGTCTCGATGTGATACTTAGAGAATGTTACTTCTTATCCCTCATGGGTGACAAATGAAAATGCAGCTTCTTTGTTTTAAGTTGATTGTAGGTGTCCATGGTCTGCAGTAGCTATTTAATATTAGATGGGCTGTTATTTGCTTTGTTACTTTAATCTATACATATAATAAATCTGTATAAAACCCGTATCTGTAATTCTAATATTTTTTGGAAAAAAAAAACAATTCCAGGGGACTAAATAAAGGGCACTGACGCCAAATTAGAGGCTTTTAGATTTTTGTCTGTCTGTCTGTGTATTCCCGATTCACGCAAAAACTACTGGACAGATTTCCATGAAATTTTGTGTGTATGTAGTTAGGAACCCGGGGCTACTTATAGGCTACTTTTACCTCTAATTACAAATAATAAAAACATTTTGCCTTCAGTTACAAATAATAAAAATAAAAATATAAACATAACTTAAATACAATGTAGTGTTAGATTCTCTTACGACGTCCATATTGCCCATATTATGTGACAGTTTCTCCCTGTCGCCTCTTCCGACGTCCGCGAGATGATATGGGGTTAGGATATAGTTACGCTGCCACTCATAGACTTATTAAACTACCTGCCACTACACTACACAGGATTATATATATTATGTGCCATTTCAATTATCTGCGTAAAAAATTCTAAGCGCAAAACGTCTCCAATCTTCAGGTAGAAATTAATTTAATTTCTGATTCTCATAAGTGTTTCGATTTGTTCATTTTGGCACCGAAATTAACATATTTTACGTACATACGTATTTTATTCTTGCAGTGGGTCATTCAGCAAATTATTGCATCGTGGTGGCCCAGCTATACACCAAAGGTGTGTGCCATGGAATCCATTCTTTCATCGTGCAAGTTCGTGACGAGGACACTCATATGCCTTTGCCTGGAATGAAAGTTGGTGAAATAGGCGTGAAATTAGGCCTCAATGCTGTAAATAATGGCTTCTTAGGATTTGACAACGTAAGAATTCCAAGGAGTCACCTGTTGATGAAACATGCCCAAGTTTTGGAAGTAAGTAATAAGTATGTAATGGTTTTTTATATACATATACCAAGCGCTTTCGCATATAAACCTATACCAAGCGATTTCTTGTATTTTTTATTTGGCAGTTATGATCGATGGTGACAGTTTTGAAGCAGGTTCAGGATAATTAGGCAGCCCATAGATTAAAAAAATTAGTACGGTTTGATGAAAGCATTGAAAGTTGTGCATTTGAAAATTTTCTATACTCAATCAAGGATCCGCTGGAATTAAAATGTACAATGTGAACTAATCCTACTATTTATTTAACGAAATTGGATACAGACTCGAATCAGTCGCTCGACTGATCTGTATATTGTAACATTTAATGAAATGTTGTGTTTTAAAATTGATTCAAAATATATATTTTTTGTAAGAGCGTGAATACCATTTTTCGAATTTGCTCTCTAGTGAAATAATCTGCCCAGAGTGGTTGGCATGGGGTATGTGTAATTTTTTTAAGAATTGGATTTTAGCTAGCGCATTATTGGTTCATCTCATCTTCATCATAATCATTACAGACCATCACAAGCACTGAACATAAACTTCCCCCAAGAACGTCACAAAGCACAGGAGACATCTATGTATATTCATTGATTTACTGCATTTCTTACCACGTCGTCACACCATCTAGTAGTGTTTGATAATTCCTAATAATGATTAATATTAAATTTTTTGTGTTCTAGGATGGCACTTATGTAAAATCCCGAAACAGTAAGTTAAATTACGGAGCCATGGTTTTCGTAAGAGTTGTCATAGTATATGATATGGTCAACTATTTATCCAAAGCTGTTACAATTGCCACCAGGTTTTCAGCAGTGCGTAGGCAGTCGCAACTCAAAGCAGGGTATGTGACATACGATTATTATAAGTAGTTAAATGTAGTGATAATTAAGTTTTCTATTTTAGACTAAACGCTATACTTTGACAAATCTTTTCAAAAACACGTTGCTGATTATCTTTTTTCTTCCTAAAATGTTTAATAGTATAGCTATTCGATTTCACGATGAAGTTTTGACTTTGGTCACAGCGGTGACACTTTGTACGTGAGAGTACAAGCGCTGTGTAACGCTAGGGTTGAAACCGACCCGAAATGGAATATTTAGACTTGTGTCGAAGAAGATACATAGTAGGTATATGTTATATAACGTAAACTTATGTATTTAGGTAGTGAAAGATACGATCAATTTTAAATTAACTTTTATTAAATATCTTTACAGATGGGGAAAATTAAAATTACCGACAAAACAAAATATGTATGCGCGACAGTTAATGGTAATCTTAAATAATTAACCAACTCTTAGTATTTCAGTACGCAATAATAAGTATTATCTACTACCCTTTAAAAATTACTTACTCTTATATATTTCTGGCCTTTTCGATGACTTTTATAATTTTTATTATTATGTCTAACAATTGCAAAAATTCGTAGCCGTATGTATAATTTTTTTAGAAAAACCATAGGGAAGCATAGATAGATAGATAACACTTTATTGTACACCCAAAAATAACATAAATATTAACAAAAAATGAGAAAAAGAAATGTGGTACTACGCACACATGTACTACTAACACACAATGTGTATGTGCACGGCTAACAACAACCAAAGTCGAAAATTCAACGTGAAATAGAATAACTATAATAATATAATAAAAAATATATATCCATTGTAGTGGTGGCGTAGGAGAATCCACTGAGTAGACCATATTACCCCTAAGGTGTCTAAGAAGCGTAAGATAGCGGAAAGTGAAACTGGAGATAGGAAGTAGCATCTTCCTGAGAACAACTTAGAATATTAAAAAACTATTACTACAAAAATATTGTGGTTGCCAATTAGTGACGTTTAGTAGTGGAATTTGTTTTGAGGTTGTAATGAATGTATTAATGACTACTATTTAACATTATTTTCCCAGTATTTTTGAATAAAATATGAGTTTTTCTGTCAGTGTTGCTGTATTAATTTCTAAAACTACGTAGGGCTAGAGTCGAAAGTTACGTAGATACAATTTTCACTCTACATTTTTTAAATATGTATTTAAATATGTATTAAAACTTATTTATCACTTTATACGCAACAAGCTTCGTCGAAAGATTTTAAAAATCTTCATACATATTTGTGAAAATCTTATATGGATTTGTGAAAAATTATGAAATCTAACTTTTAATTTAGACAATTTTCTTAAAAACACTGTTATCACGAAATCATTATACTAAACACCCGTCAAAATTATCAGTCTAGTAAAAATACAAAATGTTAGGTTTTTACTTGAAGTTTCTACAAATTACCTTTGATTTTCGCACGTAAAAATACTAAAAACATTTTACACCATAGCACGACACCGTCTTTCTATATTGTTTGTTGAATTAATATATATTAATTTATACATATTAGGTATAATTAGAATTTTCCTTTTAAAATATAATACCTTTCAATATATTTTCTTTGATTTTATCAATTTATATAAAATTTTAACAAATTTTAAAAATAGAATATTAGTAAGAGAACAGTACAGAATAAAGTAATTAGAAAAAGAAAAGTACGCAATAAATGTTCATTCATCATTCATTAATTACTGTCTATTAAAAGTCCACAGCTGATCAAAGGCCTCCCCATAGATTGAACCATATTTGCCATAGTAGCTACATTTGGTAGGCGGGTTGGCAACCACAGCTTTCTCTATTGAGCAGTTGTCAGAAAGCAGCTGCTGCCCATCTTATCTTTCAGTTTCCCTCTGACGCCTCTTACGACAACCACGGGGTAATTTAGGGTAAAAGGGCTTAATTTACCACGTGCACCCTAAATGAAGTTAACCTAATAAAGGTGGTGGAGAAATGAACATTAAAAATAATAATACAGGCAGCCGGAGTGTCAGATATTGGATTATGTGACTCAACAGCACAAACTGTTCATCGGCATAGCGGCCTGCCATGCGCTGAGGATCACTGCCGACAAGCTGTGGAATACGTTCCACGACATCAATGAGGAGCTAGTCGGCGGGAACTTAGAACGACTCCCTGAAGTGAGTACCTATTAAGTCGAACAATTATTAGTGTAGTTTGTATTATTTCACTGCAAATTATGCGCGTGATTATGATTTACTGGTCAATAATGACTACAAGGACATCTTTTAAATGTTATTGGGAGTTCATTTGCTCAGTTATAATAGCGCCTTAATCATTTTTTAATTTAGTATACGAATGATAAACGAGCATACAGTCTTCTATCTAATGGTAAGTGGATGCTGAGGCCCATAGAGATATATGTTAATTTTCGATTAAGAATCGAAATGCAGATGCGTTGTCACCTCTGAGGACTAAGATGGAATGCCTCTAATCCAGGTAAAAGGGTCTCCGATTCTCTACAGTGAGTCTACACTCATCATACGAACAACAGCAGCATTAAGCTGTTATTTTGCGCTGGTATTCTGTGAGAGCGTGGTCCTACCCGTCTAGCCGACCCATTCGTGCTACAACCATAATAAAGCTACAGCTTGGCTCTACCACGTAAAAATAAAAATACTAAAGCATTCACTTGTTCTAACCTGTTTGTACCGTATATTCATGTCTTTAAAGCAACAACTATTTCGATATTACAGACAGACACTTCAATTTTATTTATATGTATAGATTATTTTGAAATTCAGATGAACGAAAAAACGACTCATAGTTCAATCTTCAACTTTTAATAATAAAAATTCAATGTCAAAAGTGTTTTTCACTTTCAGTTGCACGCACTTGCATGCTGTCTAAAAGCCGTGACTACGGCGGACACATCAGCGTATGTAGAGCGCTGCAGGCTGGCGTGCGGCGGCCACGGATACATGATGTCCTCTAACTTGCCGCTAACGTACGGGCTAGTAACTGCCGCTTGTACTTACGAAGGCGAGAACACAGTATTGCTGTTGCAAACTGCTAGGTGAGTAGTTCTTTTTTTGTTAGCATGGTAATGGAATGGATTTGTAAGGAATATAATAGAATATATATCGATGCTTAGTAAACAACAAAGTCTTACGAAGCTAAAGCCTCGTTTGTGGTAGGCGATCAACACGAAAATCGTGAGTCGTGATTAGGAGCACTAACCCTGTGACCCTGCGGCGATGACTTGAGATCTGTCCTTTCTTGTTTTCGCTCAGCAGACTCTTTATGAACTATCACACTGCACATTATTTATTATAATACGTCACGGTGTGACCGTGACCGATACCGTAATACATCACAGTATGACGCCATTCACAAGTCGAGAACCTTGCTTCACCATTGCTTGTCGGTTCTTTGAGCTATATGGCAATGCCACTTCAGCTTACTAATCCGTTGATCTATGTCGGTTACTCTGATTCTACTGCGGATATCCTCATTACTAAGTTTATCACGTAGAGAAATCAGGACCATAGCCATTTCAATAGCTTGTTAAGCCACCTTGAGCTTCCTCATACGGCCAGCAGTGAAGGACCACATCTCAGATCCATAAGTTATCACTGGCAACACACACTGGTTATACAATCTCGTTTTAAAATTTTGAGGTATATCTCACGACAAGATGTGTCGTAATATCCCGATTCAACGCTGCCCAGCCTAGTTGAATCTGTCCATTGATCTCTCAGTCGAAGTTGGACTTACCTAGTCGGACTATTTGGCCCAGGTAAACATGCTCGTCAACAACTTCGAACTTAATGCTCCCAACAACTACCGACATAGGTGCGACATGGACGTTACACATGATCTCTGTTTTGTCCTTGTTCATCTTAAAACCTATCCGTTGGGAGGCACTATTGAGGTCATTGTGCATGGTGGTTAGACTCTCCAGTGATTCTGCCATAAGGGCTATATCGTCGGCAAATCGAAGGAGAGTGATGTACTCGCCATTGATATTAATACCGTATCCTTTCCAGTCTAGTATCAATGGCTTTCTCATAGTCAACATACGCAAGACAAAGTGGCAGATTGTACTCTCTTCGGTCTTTTGTACAATTTACTGAAGATTATACATGTGTTATATAGTGTTAAAGTAACCGAATTTTTCGGGAGGCTGGAAGTCGTCGAGTCTGCCTGCGAGACAATTCGTAGTCACTCTTGAAAACAGCACGTAGACGCGGCTCAAAAGGGAAATCGGTTTGTATTTCTTCAAGAGATCGTTGTCGCCTTTCTTGAAGAACAAGACCACCACACTATGCTCCACGCCTTTGGAGTAGTGTCACCGTGGAAGTCAGAATAAAAGTTTCTGAAGAACTTTAAGTACCGGTTTTCCACTCAAACGGTCATCTCATTCAGATTGACATCCGGAATATCATCGGAATAGTGTCGGATAAGACTTGCTCTTGGATCGTTATCACACTTGCGTGTGGCTCCAACGATGACGTGTATAGCTGCCCATAAAACCTCTCAATCTCACTCAAAATCTTAGGTGTCTCGGAAACGATGCTGCTACATTCGGTCTTCAGCTTTCGACAGTTGGTTCTTTTTGGCAGAGAGAACAGATCTCTGGCAAAGACTTTGATACCCTGGTTCTGCTCGATAACTTCTTCAATACGAGCTGTATTGAACTTGCATAAGTCCCGCCGAATGCGATCACATGATGCAGATCTGTCTGTTCAGTATATTGTCACATCTGCTGAAGACTACAGCTTCATTTCCCATCTAACAGTCATGAGATTAAGTGTGTGATCGGACAGATTTTGTGTTCTTCTGCAACGAGTCTTGCAGAACTTAGCTCCAACTGTATGAACAGTTTCCACTGAATTGCAGCCTTCTAGGCACTGAAAATTTTGTAACACGAACTGAAATTTTTCGGGGCTTTGGATTAGAGCACGAGGACGAGGGAAGGAGTGTTGGCTTCATTAGACGTGACCTTTCCAACTTAACGTTTAGATTCAGTGTGCCTCACACCATTCGGTGATCGCTGTCTGTTTTCACCCTCGCGATCACTGAGATATCACTGAACTATTGCCGTCTAGTCGTCATTCCTCTTAACCGTCGGGTCTAGATCAGGTCAACTTTCATCAAAGAAAGAGTTCATTATAAAAAGTCAATCGTTCTCCATGAAGTCGGCCAACTGCTGGCCCCTTGGGTTCCGATGCCCTATTTGGAATTTACCTACTTTCAGCTCTTGTGCCTAGCGTTGAAGTCTCCCATGAACACCATATAGTGGGGTTTGGAGAAATGCATGGCTCTAGAGATATTCTCATACATTTCCTCCAACTTCTTATCGGGAAGTGCCGAGGTTGGTGCATAAATCTGTATGACCTTCAACGAATACTACTATAATTGATAGTTGTTGTTACCACACACAATTATGTATAAGGTTATATTTAATGTCTTATATTGTACTTTTTTTTTTTGCTGCTTTTTGCTTTATTTTAAATTTTATGTTATAATTATATAGAAGGTTTAGGCTTTTTTTCGTTTTATCGAAGGACTAAACTACACGTAACAGCTGTGCTACGTTCGTGACGCCAATGAATAGGTTTCTTGGCTGAAAATCAGCGCTGTGTGAGGCCATACTCACACAACACATGCTGCGCCAACCCCTTTTCGGCACAATGCGACCTTTTTTATATATATCAATATGTGCTTTTACTTTCATGTGTATGCCTGTGCTGAATAAATGTTTTTTCTATTCTATTCTATTCTAATACGGTTTGATGCTTCTAAGTAAGGTACGCAGCCCTCGTCGTCACACTCCCAATCTTTACAACATTGTTAACGAGAAATTTGTGGATGATAAATCCAACACCTCCTTGGGACAAATGGTCGCCCTCCCGGTGATAGAACAAGTTGCTGGATTCGAGGACTACCGTGTCCTCCCCCTCTCTTCAGACCTCAGATAATCCTATAATATCCCAGTGCAAATTGTCTATCTCTTCTTCTAGTTCCAGGATCTTCTTGTCAGTCCTCAGGGTGCGTGCGTTATATGTTGCCAGGTTGAGTCGTCTTAGGTGACAACCGAACCTCCACTGAAGATTCTTAGCCCCTGTCTGCACCGCCGTTACCATGGTCGCCACCGTAGCCAGGAATAGCGGAATCGCCGGAGATTGTGAACCGTCTTTTTATATCAAAATAGATTAAGATATATTCGCAAACCAACAGTAACAATGCTTATGAACGATGTCAAATTAGTCGCTTTCACGGCAGATTACTTTCCTTTACTTCTTCGAACAGAATAATCATTAATCACAATGGACAGTATCACGTTAAACAAAGTAACAGATTGAAATATATAACATACAACATCTCTCGGCTCGTCGCCTCAAAACTTTATAGGTACTGTAATGTGTGGCAGTTTCGAGTTCTACTTCCACTTCTGTTTATCGCTTTTTATTTTCTACCTTTTGTCTCTGACATTAATATGATTAAACAAGCTCATCACGTGGTAAATAGCTATTATAGCTCACGAACGCCTGCAACCAACTTCAAAGAAATAGAGCTACAGCACAACACTCTGAGAAAGAATATTCATAACTACAATCAACATGGTTAAATAATTAAAATTGTCACCTTTATTGTACGTAATGCATGTACGAGTATAATTATATAATAACCTTTGATCTGTTTTACTTGACGTAATATATTGTTAAATGAAACTTCCTTAACCCAGTATAACGTCACTTGACAAGATATTTTATACGATATTGTCTTTTCAGATTTTTGGTAAAAACATATCAACAGATGAACACAAAAACGCTTACGCCAACAGTAGCGTACCTGAAAACTGCCGCAGCTAAGGGCTTCTGTGATATTTGGTTGAACACGGTTGAGGGAGTTATAAATGGTTTTCAACTTGTCGCTTTGAGGTAATAAATTAATTTTTTAGCCTTTACGCTACGGTTCATGTTTGCCTAAGGCCTGACTGAAGTTGGTTGGTGATTTTTGGCATATTTGGCATAAATTTCGGTCTACCTCATCAACCAAACCTACAAGAGCGTGTGTTTGTGATGCACGCTGAATACCCTGTTGCGTTGCACGTATAACTCCTTGATTTTAACTTTTTTCGACCCTTCTGAGTGGAGTGAGTAATATCACAACCTCAATAACTAATGGAATGTTATGTAAATAGTTACATCAGTTAAGTTAAAATTTCATTCCATATTCCTTTATTCTTGTTTTGTACCCTAGAGACCTATTTAATAAAAAATAAAAATAAACACAATCAAATTAAGAACTTTCTCGCATTGAAGTCAGGTAAAAATGACAAAAACGCGCCATTGCATTAATTATCCTCTAAATAGTTTGTTAATAAATTATAATCTTTTTTTAGAAATAGAAATAGAAACTTTTTTATTCAATATAGATTATAAATAATACTTATTGAAAGTCACTCTTTTGTTTAATTACCACTGGTTCGAAAAAAAACCTCTATCCTGGGAAGAACCAGCAAGAAACCCAGCGGGACTTTTTTTTTAAATAACAGCTTACAATCATGTATGTTACACAAATTAACAACACAACAAATTAGAAATAGCTTGGTAGCGATCACCTCATTTCCAGGGGTTATTATTATCTATATATTCTTTAATATTATAATAACCCTTTTTATACAAACTTAGTTTAATAAAGTTTTTGAACTTTGAGCAGGTCAAATTTTGTATATTTTCTGGAATTTTGTTATAAAAGCGTATACATCGCCCCAAGAATGAATTACTGACTCGATGGAGTCGAGTAACTGGTACTACTTGCTTGTGTCTGTTCCTAGTATTTACAGAATGAATATCACTTATTTTTGTAAAACTACTTTTACTTTTGTGTACGTACATTACATTTTAATAAATATATTGAGAGGCCAAAGTTTATATATTAATTTCCTTAAATTTTTGTCGCAGCGACTCTTTAGGCTTTAAATCATAAATTGCTCTTATGGCCCTCTTCTGTAAAACAAATATAATTTCAGTGTCAGCTGCGTGTCCCCATAGCAAAATACCATACGACATTATGCTATGGAAATAGCTAAAGTAAACTAGTCTAGCTGTTTCAACACTAGTTAGACTTCTAATCTTTTTTACGGCATATGCTGCAGAACTAAGTCTGCTTGCTAGTTTTGATATATCCTCTCCATTGAATATATCCGCTCCATTGAAGCTTCGCGTCTATTGTGGTTCCAAGAAAAATGGTGGTATCTACAAGACTCAGTTTAATTCTATTTATTACCTTATTATTTCTAGGAAGATTTCCCATTGCGTCGAATGCATGTCAAAGCGTGTCAACAGCGGAATGTCATTTGAAGATGCCTGGAACATTACGTCTGTACAATTAGTAGCAGCTGCAGAAGTATGAGACAAACTCCACATTTTTTTATAAATAATTTACCTATTAAAACACAAGAAGTAAAATTAAAAAAAAATTAAAATTAAGACTGTCATGCTCTGATAAATCTGTCTATGGATTTTATCATGTTTAATTTTGACCAATTTTTTTATAGAATAAGGGTGACAAACGAGGACACATTCCACCTGACGGTTAGTGGTTGCTGTGGCCCATAGACATTTACATCTATCTTCGTTTGCGAAATAAAATACAGATGCGTTGTCAGCTGTGAGGACTAAGATAGAATGCCTCTTTTCCAGTAAAAAGGGTCTCCGGTTGTCTACACTCACCATACGAAACACAGCAGCATCAAGCTGCTATTATACGCTGGTATTCTGTGAGAGCGTGGTCCTTTCCCGGTCGAGCCGACCCGTTCGTGCTACAACTATACTATGAATATAGCTGCAGCACGACTCTACCACGTATAAAATTTCCGACGTTTCTACCATGGTCACACGAGAACTGATGTGTTCATCGTCTAGCCCGGGCTACCTTTAGCTTTTAATAATTATTATATTTTGGTTGGCAACCCCGTGGTCGAAAGAATAAGGACCCTCGATCCTCAGTTTGAATCCCGGTTCGCGCCAAAATCAGTCATTGAGTGTTTCTGTCAAGAAAACCTAAGTAGCAGTTTGGAGTCAGGAAGTTGGCGGTGTTTAACGCCCAAAAGCATGTAATGCCGTCGTAGGCCGTGACCGAAATTTGGTCTGGGGGTCATTATTATTTTTTGGTGCGATCTACGAATAAACTTGAGGTATATTAAAGTATTGTCGTATACTTAGGTTTGAATTTGTGTTTAATAACTAGCTGGTGCCCGCGACTTCACGCGCGTAAATTTTTTTACGATTGGATTTTATGGGCTTTTTTTTTTGCGTGGAGCCCTAAATGAGTTTCTAAAATAAAAGTAGCCTAAGTTACTCCTTATAATATTAGCTATCTGCTAGTGAAAATCCCATCAAAATCAGTCCAGCCGTTTCGGAGATTAGCCGGAACAAACAGACAGACAGACACACAAACATTTTAAAAATTGTCTTTTGGTTATAAGTACCGTATATACTTTCATATGTATTTAGTAAAATGCTATTGTTTTGACATTACAAACAGACACTTCAATATTATTTATTTGTATAGATATGATTATTTACTTACAACATACCACGCTTATGGTTTTGCATCTAGCCATTTTCTTTATTAATATTTGAGTTTTAAATTTTAATATAATAAGAATCGGTTTTCTTTTGCGATAATTTGTGGATATCAAATCTGTTGGAATAACAGGGGTGAGCTAGAAACTGTTAACAAAAGAGATTTAAATATATAGGTATACTAACTACTTAAATGTCTTTGCTGTTAATATACTGCAGATTTCCCATTCGATATTTTTACGGATGGAGGTGGAGGTCTTCATCTTTACCTCGAGGTATTTTATTTTCATTCTGCGTAGATCGGATCAAAATCTATAATTATACAAATTAATGTTTTTTTTTATTGTTTATTCCGTATGCGTTCCTACACCATTCACATTTTACTATGAAACTTTGGTGAGTTGTGCGAGCTACCGCAAAAGTTTTTGACAAAAAGAGGCATTGCATAAACGGGCAACATTTAGTTAATAATTAAAAGCTGAAGGTAGCTCAGGCTTATTATCACATCAACAGGGTTATCACATGTCGTAACGTTGATTTTTTTAATTTTTATTGTTTTCTATAGCGTACACGGTGAGCTGAAAGTAGGGAAATTTGGTATAGGGCAACGGAACCCAAGGGGCCAGCAGCTGGCCAACTTCATGGAGAAAGAGTAACTCTTTATGATGAACTCTTTCTTCCATAAGCGGCCCCACAGGAAGTGGACCTGGTCGAGCTCCGACGGTTCCACAAAAAATAAGATTGACTTCATTATGACGACTGTTCAGTGATATCTCCGAGATCGCGAAGTTGAAAACTGGTAGCGATCACCGAATAGTTAGAGGCACACTGAACCTAAACGTTAAGTTGGAGAGGTCTCGTCTAATGAAGTCAACGCACCCTCCCTCTCGTGTTCTGTTCCAAAGTCCTGAAACCTTTCAGCTCGAGTTACAAAACCGTTTTCAGTGCCTAGAAGACTGCAATGAAGTGGACAATATGAATGACAAGCTCGTGGAAACTGTCCATGCGGTCGGAGCTAAGTTCTGCAAGACCCACCGCAGAAGAACACAAAAACTCTCCGATCACACTCTCAATCTCATGGCTGTTAGACGAGAGATGAAGCTACATTCTTCAACATATTTGACAGCATACAGGCAACTGAACAGACAGATCTCCAAATGCATACGGCGGGACTTACGCAATTTCAATACAGTTTGTATTGAAGAAGCGATCGAGCGGAACCAAGGCTCCAGTCTATGCCAGTGATCTGTCTGCCAGAAAGATCGAACTGTCAAAGCTGAAGACCGAGTGTGGCAGTATCGTTTCCGGGAAACCTGAGATTTTGAGTGAGATTGAGAGGTTCTATGGGCAGCTGTACACGTCATCATTGGAGCCACACGCAAGTGTGAGTAACGATCCAAGAGCGAGTCTTATCCGACGCTATTCCGAAGATATCCCGGACGTCAGTCTGACCGAGATTAGAATGGCTCTCCAGCACCTTAAAAACGGCAAGGTCCCAGGCGAGGATGGAATTACAGCGGATCTTCTGAAAGCGGGTGGAAGACCGGTACTTGAAGTCCTTCAGAAGCTCTTTAATTCCGTCCTCCATGGTGGCACTACACCGGAGGCGTGGAGCAGAAGTGCGGTGGTCTTGTTCTTCAAGAAAGGCGACAACGCTCTCTTGAAGAACTACAGACCGCTTTCCCTTCTGAGCCGCGTCTACGTGCTGTTTTCGAGAGTCATTACGAATCGTCTCGCGCGCAGACTTGAAGACTTCCAGCCTCCCGAACAAGCCGGTTTCCGAAAGGGCTTTAGCATACTTTATACGTGGTAGAGCCATGCTGCATCTATATTATGGTTGTAGCACGAATGGGTCAGCTCGACCGGGGAAGGACCACGCTCTCACAGAATACCAGCGTCAAATAGCAGTTTAACGCTGCTGTGTTTCGTATGGTGAGTGTAGAGTCCCGGAGACTCTTTTTACTGGAAACGACGCATTCCATCTTAGTCCTCACGGGTGACAACGCAACTGCATTTTCATTCGTAATCGAAGATAGGTGTAGATGTCTATGGGCCACAGCAACCACTTACCATCAGGTGGACTGTGTGCTCGTTTGTCACCCTTATCCCATAAAAAAGCACCATAGACCACATACATACCCTTCGACAAATAGTACAGAAGTCTGAGGAGTACAATTTGCCACTATGTCTGGCGTATGTGAACTATGAAAAAGCCTTTGATTCCGTCGAAGTTTGGGCGGTACTGCAGTCCCTTCAGCGGTGCCAAGTTGACTGTCGGTATATCGAAGTACTGAAATGTTTGTATAGTAGAGCTACGATGGCTATCCGAGTACAGAACCAGAGTACGAAACCTATCCAATTGCAGAGAGGTGTAAGACAGGGTGACGTTATATCCCCGAAACTCTTCACCGCTGCATTGGAAGACGTTTTCAAGCTTCTGGACTGGAAAGGATACAGTATTAACATCAAGGGCGAGTACATCACTCACTTTCGATTTGCCGACGATATAGTCCTTATGGCAGAATCGCCGGAGGACCTAAGCACCATGCTAAATGACCTCAATAGTGTCTCCCAACGAATAGGTCTTAGGATGAACACGGACAAAACAAAGATCATGTTTAATGTCCATGTCACACCTATGCCGGTAGTTGTTGAGAGTACTAAGCTCGAAGTTGTTGACAAGTATGTTTACCTGGGACAAATAGTCCGACTAGGTAAGTCCAACTTCGACTGAGAGGTCAATCGACGGATTCAACTCGGCTGGGCAGCGTTCGGGAAACTACGACACATCTTCTCGTCAGACATACCTCAAAACCTTAAAACGAAATTGTACAACCAGTGCGTGTTGCCAGTGATGACTTACGGATCTGAGACGTGGTCCTTCACTGCTGGCCGTATGAGGAAGCTCAATGTCGCTCAGCGAGCTATGGAGAGGGCTATGCTCGGGGTTTCTCTGCGTGATAAACTTAGAAATGAGTATATCCGCAGTAGAACCAGAGTAACCGACATAACCCAACGGATTAGTAAGCTGAAGTGGCAGTGGGCCGGACATATAGCTCGAAGAACCGACAACCGATGGGGAAGAAAGGTTCTTGAGTGGCAGCCTCGTAACGGTAGGCGAATTGTAGGGCGACCCCCACGAGATGGAGTGACGACCTGGTAAGACATGCAGGAAGTCGATGGATGCAGGTGGCTCAGGCCGTGCTTTGTGGCATTCCTTGGGGGAGGCCTATGTTCAGTAGTAGACTTATGAAAGGCTGTAATGATGATGATGATGAAAGCGTTAACTATCTCAGAATGTTTTTTGCTAACTCTACAGGACGTTGTACACCATGTCCCTAATGACCAAAGTATTTGAAACGACGGGAGTTATAATATGGTTAAAATTAAACGCGATAAAACTATAAAACAGCTCAACTCTAGGAAAAATCTAACATCTTAGTATTTCATAATTTTGCTATACGATTTTTTGTTTCTTTCATTTTGTGGCAATGCTTTTTCGCGAAGTATTAATATCTGTAATAGTACTAGAAGGTAGATTTACGTTATATTGATTCCAGGCACATTGTCGAGCTATAGTTATATCAACATTTTTTGAAGAAATACGAGAACTGGCCAAAACATCATCAGCTCAGTTGAAGGAAATTCTCTATCAGCTTGTAGATTTGTATTGTGTTTATTGGGCTTTGGAGAAACTCAGTGATTTACTTCTGGTAAATTAAATAATAATATTAACTAAGTTTATGTATAACAAAAAATTATATTCCTACCACGTTTTTAAAACGGACTTAAAGGTATAAAATTCTTTTTTATTTACATTGTCTTCTAATTCTGAGCTATGTTCAAAATTACAACAAATTTTTAGCTCATCGGGAAGTTAGTAAAATCATTTACTAAATTTTTACCCGAACAGCATACACACGAAATACGCGAATAGGCGAATTAATAAAAACGTGGTAAAAATATATTTACTTTGTTTACTCGATCTTATATTAGTTTAACTTGTAAGTCTTACAAACTTTGACCTTGTTCTTCACAGTATACCCCGATCACTCACAAGGACGTGGAGCAAATGCATCTTTGGTATGAAGAAACTCTGACTAAAATAAGACCTAATGCAGTAGGGCTTGTTGATGCTTTTGATATACGAGATGATGTAAGTATTCCAATATTTGTTCCAACTGATGACACCAACTGTTGGTTTTTTGTTTAGTTGTATTGTAGAGTTGATGTCCTTGTTGTAAGCGCACCAGAACGCTCAAACTTGTGAATTGATCAACACAAAGATTACAAAAATAAAGAAAAATAGATATTTCGGTTGCGCAGTAGCTAAGACTTCGGCTGTGGTGATGCGAGCCGCATTTTCAAATCCCGCACGGAGCCTGACTTTATATGGCCTATAAATAATTGATTGTCTATGTGCAATTTATGTATATCAAAAATGTGTGACGTTTTATTATAAAAAAATGTACCTACGTGTATGACTATATCTTTCTTGCTTTAAGTACCTTGAAATTGTAATATAATCTGTACACTCGCTGATTTTATATAAATCGTTAATTTGGAGAAATATAAGCTAAGTGTATTAGTAGATTGATTTTTTACTTCGTGGTGGCGGTGACAGCGTAAGAAAATCACTACCCTATTTTGTCCTATGGGTGTCTTAAAAGGCGACAATGGGTGGCATTTCCCATTTCGAAAGGCGTTATGGCTTTCGATTTATGGTGGTACAACTATGTACAACGGACGTAAATTATCTAGGCCGGCGACAGGGAGCAGCGCCCTCAAAGGTGTGAAATATGGGCAAACGAGCATCCTGCTCACCTGATGGTACTCGTAAGTGTCGACCGACCATGACCTACTGCAACACCAAGGGATTTGCACGTGCGTTACCGGCCGGTGGTGAAGATGAAGTGAACAGATATTATGATTATAAATTAATAATTATATCTGTTGGCTGCCAGATTATTCGGAAGTTGTCACATTGGTCGACAATAAAAATCTTTTCAAAATATTCACACGGCAACGTACAAATGAGTATAAATTTATCTAATTTTATATTTTATTTCACCAACGACGTTTATTAGATGTAAATGCAAATGCGCATGTAGATTCGTAATTTATAAAATTCATTAATTTAGCGTGTCGAAGCTTATATAACGAAACACTCTTTTCTTAACTATTTTTGGAGGTTTTTGACGAAAATACGTCAGTATCTTAAAACAATCTTGGTAACACGGAAGTTTTTCGCAGAGTAATTTGGCATTGAAAATTGACAGTCTTGTTATTTTTTTTTTATAAGATAGGGTGACAAACAACCACACAGTCCACCTGATGGTAAGTGGATGCTGTGGCTCATAGATATCTATTTATCCTCGATTTAGAATCACAATGCAGATTCGTTGTCACCCCTGAGGACTAAGATGGAATGCATCTTTTCCAGTAAAAAGGGTCTCCGGTTCTCTATACTCACCATACGAAACACTGCAGTGTTAAGCTGCTATTTTACGCTGGTATTCTGTGAGAGCGTGGTCCTACCCCGGTCGAGCCGACCCATTCGTGCCACAACTATACTACTAATACAGCTGCAGCATGGCTCTACCACGTAAAAAAATAATACTGACGTCAGGTGGATTTGCAGGATTATTTGTCTAGATAGTAGGACTGCTGTTCTGCCTAGGAATCCTTCTGAATAGGTACCACCCTCCTACATATATTTGCCGCTAAATAGCAGTGCTTGCATTGCTATGTTCCGATGTAAGGATTTAAGAGAGGTAATTTAATTACCGCCTGGGAGGCATTCCATCTTAGACTCCGCTAGATTACGTCGACCCAAATGTCGCCGACCCGTCTCACACCATCACTACACACTCACCTTGTATCACAAACACCGTTAGGACAACGGATGGGACGCAGTGAGTCAACAGACATCAATGACGCTAAAACGCAAAAGACGCACACAACTCCACACCGCGTACACAATGTACACCCGCGTCTCTGGGCAGTTATCACCGCCCAGAACATCGAACGATACAATAATTAATGGGACTTTAAATGTTTTGCGTGCATGCTTTTAAAGCTTCATTTGACTTAGGGTGACTTCGTTCTGATGAACTTTAATTGTGCAAGTATATGATGCACTTAACTGATTTATTTCTATCTTGGTCTTATTCAAAGCAATTTATATATGTCGCAGGTTTATGATAAAATCAGGTTCTTGGTTAAAAAACAATACAACTTGATTTTCTTATGTTCATGATAACATAAAGTAGTAACTTTCTATTCTTTCGGTAAAAAAACCTGATTTTATCATAAACCTGAAACATATCCAAGTAGTAGGGATTCCAGAGATCGTTTAAAGTTTAACATTTTTAACATTTGTTGAATAAAATAAACAGACATTTAATTATGTATACAATTTGTATTTTACATTTGTTTTAAACAATCATTAACACTATATTACATTTTACAATAAACACAAAAATAAGAAGAGTTTTGAATAAAGCATGTAACTACTCGTATGTTGTGTTTTTTTGAAAAAGTAATTATATGTGATTATTTTTATAAATTATTGTCGATTATTTTTTTTGTAGTTAAACTTTTATTTGTCCGATTGTGCGATCGAAAACAACTTTAAAACCACTAACTATTTTGTTTTAGATGCTGCAGTCGACTCTAGGTTCATATGACGGCCGAGTTTACGAACGTTTAATGGAAGAAGCTATGAAGAGTCCTCTCAATGCGGAACCAGTTAACGAAACCTTCCATAAGTACCTTAAACCTTTCATGCGAGGAAAACTGTGATATTTTATTTTTATAAATAATAGAAGTGTTAATTAAATGGCTACGTTAACTTTTAGTATTTATATAAATTTCCGTTACGTATATTATGTACCATTTAAATTTTATTTTTAATTCCAAGTGACGTTATTTTGATTTATGTTGATGATTATAAAAAAATGAACTCGTTTTTTATTTACCAACACCTTTTTATTTTTATCCAGCTTATATAGTATATTATAAACTGTCCAAATGCGTGTCAGAACACGGGTGCTGATTAGATTACTCTAACATTTTCAATTATCTCAGAGATATTTGATTCTATTATTCTTCTCTAACTGTTGAAAGTTAGATCTGCTGTACCACCAGGCTTTAAAAAAAATTGAGTGAACAATGTATGATAGCAAAAAAATTGGCCTAAATGTTTTAGTTATTATATCATTTAAGCTTTAATAGTTTTAGTGAAAATAACCGTCCATTAATATTCTTGAACTTATTTTTCATGCATGAAAAAGAGACCGATCAAAAACTTGTTTGCCTATTTTATTTTCACTAAAAATTTTATAATAGTTTTATAATGTTGAGAGCCGGATTTAACGGTGCCCTAAGTTTTTATAGCAAAAGGTGCCCTAGTTTTTAATTCTACATTGTATTTTTTTTATTTGAAGAAAAATAGTTACAATTTTCAAGCTGTACTTACTTTAGTGGCAGAAATACTGTTTCCTTGACTTTTTTTCGAAATTGGTTTTACGTAGCAAATCTCTTTCAATGTAAAGTAGTGAAAATGCATCCAATACTTCCTGCTTGATCATAGTATGACAAGAATTATTTAATCTCTTTAGCCGTGAAAATGATTTTTCTGCCAATCAATTTGTAACCATCAAACTCAAGAATATACGTAAAAAATAAAATAAACGTACGTTTGGAAAAGCTGATGGTAATTTATCTTCCCACAATATTTTATATAAATTTGCTTGCTTATGGAATTTATAATTATTTCCATTTTTATGCCAAACATAGCGGTGACATGGATGAGTTTTTTCAGCAAGTTCGGAATTAAGATCTGAATACTTTAAAATCAAACCTAGCTTATAAATATGGACTTTTTCATTTGTAATATAGAGAAAATCAAATTGTTCAGAAACTACACCGTATATCTTGCTCTTTTAAGTCAATTTGTAATTGCAATTGATCTTTCGATAGTAGGTCTTATCGTTCGTAGGTCATTTTTTTCTTATACATCTTCGAGTAATAATTATACAGATTTTTTTTTATAGAATAAAGGTGACAAACGAGCAAACAGTCCACCTGATGGTAAGTGGATGCTGTGGCTCATGGATATCTACATCTATCCTCGATTTAGAATCACAATACAGATGCGAGGACCTCACCCCTGAGGACTACGATGGAATGCGTGTCGTTTCCAGCAAAAAGGGTCTCCGTTTGTTTACACTCACCATACGATACACAGCTGCATTAAGCTGGTATTCTGTGACAGACGTATGAGCTGACATCAGGTAAAAGTTTATATAGAGCGCGTTTCAGTATTTCAGAAATTTATACGCAAATTTTTCAGCTGATCGGATAATGATTTAAATAAATTTGCGCATGTAAATAGTGTAAGTTTTACAAGCTGAAGACGTATTTCAGCTTTTAAAACTTGAAGCAGCTCAATCGATTGAAGATATAAAATTGAGTTGTAAGATTCCACCCGAACAATCATAGTTACGTTGCAAGTTAAATAAATGCTTGTAAAAAACGGCATTTTCATAGGTTCGGCATTTTCATAGGTTCGGCTTCCGGCTTATATAGTGTTTCATGTAAAAATCATAATGAAACTAAGTAGGTAAGTACCTAAATCAATTTAAGAAAATAAACTCTGAGAGTAAACTAACTATATTGGTTTCAATACCTTTGCAAGTGTTGCAAATTGTTACATAATAATATGTAATTAGTACACTAATTTTATGTTTAAATTAACATAAATAACATAGATAGTATAGTACCTATGTTATTTGTTATGTTAATTTATAATATGTACTCTTTAATTTGTATATAATCCAAGGCTACTATTAAATATTATCATTTTATACAATACAATACAGATTAATAGGTACTACTTGAAAATTCTATACATTATATTTAGTCCGATTCACAAACTAGTAAGAAGTGCTAGCGCAGTCCGATTACATCAGTGATAAAGGTCGAACGTTGACGTTGACCGCGCCTACTAAACAGTATTACGCAGTGATCAAGTGGCTTTATTTTCTTATAGGCATTTTAGTGTTAACACAGTGACAGAAGTACTTTGACCGGAAAAAGTGTAACCTATTATTCAGATTTAGCGCTGACAATAAAGGTATGTAGGCAACTTATGAATAAACGAAACCGAAGGGAAAAGAATTACATGTTGCTTCATCATTGATAACTATTGTTGGTTTGTTGGTACCATAGATTATTATATATTATATTTGTGAGTTGGTATCTCAGGTTGGAACCTTGCGTTTGAGTCACTGACCTGTAAGGTCAGTGGTTTGTGTGAATGTGTGACTAGTGACTTCTAATTATAATATAATCACTTATCCAAAGAGTATGCCTATCAAAAGCTATAATCACAGAGTACTATTTAAAATATTTATTTAATCACTATGTTTCACACCACAGATTATGAAGAGTACTTGCGAATTTTACAATTTTACACTTATCCACAGATTAATACATAGATTACTGTATATAATATACTAGTTAATAGATACGTAGTAAGCTACACTTTGTCCAAGTAAGCTACACTATACAACATAACTATCGTTTCGACTTTAGCTTTTGTCGCTAGATGGAGGTTTTAGGCTCGCCACATACATACGGAATTCCGTTTCGGGATTCCGTTTCGATATTCCGATTCGGAATCCCGAACGCAGCAAGTCCATATAAAATCTATGACCCGCCACACACGTACGGTCGTTTTCCGTTCGACATTTTGCGGGCAATACGGAATTCCGTTTGTGTGTGGCCGACCGTTCGGAATTCCGAAACGGAATCTCGAAACGGAATTCCGTATGTATGTGGCGGGCCTAAGAATGTCAGGAATCAGGAACAAAGAGTATATAATCTCAAGATATGATCACTATGCCACTATACTTTACTCGTAGACTTAGAATATACTTTTTACTCAGGAATACTACAGTATATATATATATATACAGTATATATACAATACTACTTAACATAAATATATCCATAGGATCTGATTTTAGCACATCTAAGCTTAGGTGGATAATTATTTATAAAAATATGTACTTAATGTTATCGGTTTATTTAATCCATAAAATACGTAGGTACGTTCTTCTAAAATAAGAAAAGTTCTAATCATGAGTCATGATAATAGGTTCAAAGCTGATATTTATAGAAGTAGATAATAAATACGAATATTTATTTCGTTAAAATCAAAATATTGTAATATAATGCTAAAGGCTCTATGGACTTTTGTGTACCGTTCAAAGAAAATAACGGAATAAGACTTAGCCATAGCTGAGAGTGATACGCGAAGATATAGCCATCTCTGACAAAGATTTTATAAGTGTGTACTACGTTTTAATCTACGGTTTGAAAAGAGCTTCATAATATTGGTACAGAACAAGGGAAAAGATGATAAGATTATTGTTGATTAAATATTATGTTTAGACTACAGATATTAAGTATAATGAGGCTATCCAAAACTTTTTTTATGAACGACGCGGCGCCACTTTGGAATGAGGTGAAATATTTGACAGATTTTATGAAGGATTATTACGAAAATAATAATGGTTGTTTCCTTCCGAAATATGAATTATATTCAAAAAACAGTAGTTAAAAAGAGAGTAAATATTTGGCAAAAATCAAATAAATAAATAATAATATATATTTATATAGGGTTATTTTTCAGAGTAGCCAAATATTAACCTAAGTTCAAATATATAAATAATGATATACCGTTATTGCAGTTTTTTGAAAATACGTGTTAATAAGACTTATACTTTTACTTGAAATTATCCCAAATTGAATGTAATTTATGGACAACAACTACGCGTACGCGAGCTCCTCTGTATGCGATTCAATTAACGTTTTTGCCGACCGATGGACTCTTACGAATGCGCGAGTAGTAAAATAGTGGGCGTTAGATATTTATGAATGACAATAAAATTTAAATTTAAATAATGCATTACCACGCATTTTTAATTTAAAAGATAAAAAGAACAGAATATTTGAGAATTTTTTAAATAATTTTTCTTCATCATTTCCTTATATTACTTATTCTGAACCTTCTCTGTTATTATAATATATATATATATATATATATATATATATATATATATATAAATAAAATAAAAAATAAAAATAAATTAAAATTAATTTGCTTTTGAAATGCAACTTTTTACATATGGTGACACTGTGTAAAAAATAATCATACCTCAGTTCTAACTAGCGACAGGGGAAATTATTATATTATATAGCCCTCATTATAGCAGTCGTATACTTTCACAGTTTATTCAATAGTGCTATACTTCCTTAAAGTAAATTTTACAAAATATATATAAGCATATTACGTAAATTTTGCGGTACGCACGGTACGGTGTACTCACAGGAAAAAGTACAGTACCTCTGATTAGTAAGTTTTATAATAATGCTCTCTACCGAACTCTACATAGAGAGTGTGCTTGTAACATAGAGTACCTTATGTGACTTAATGTGTTGTGTGATTTGTGAAAGTACTTTGTGAACTTAAACTTGTACTACGTTTAGTACTTATATGAATATCTATAAAACGTTTCATTTTACCTATAAACTAATAAGATTTACCTTACGCTCCATTTTATGCTACAGTGCATAAGCATAAAATGCATGAACATCCCTTAAAATTATTTATTTATTTATAAGCCTTTATTGCAAACACAATATACATAATTTCATAATTAAAAATTAAACATGCAAATTAAAATATATAACTTTAAAAGTAAAATAGACCTTAACATTAAATTCATTATTAA